TTTTTCTTTGCCTCCCTCCAAGTAGGCCCAATCCCTCTCCATCTTGTGCTTTATCACTTGGTTTGTGTACACTGTGAGCTTGGCAGCGATCAGTGAAGCTTCACTGTATGATGATGATGATGATGAGAGGTCCTTTAGGGACTGGAAGATATCACCCTTCCACATTGTTTTTTGTGTTTTCAGATATGAATCAATCAAAAGTGGAAACGAACTCGTCGACCGATGAAGACCCAGACCATGAAAATCTAGTCCGCAGCAAACTGGGCAGTTTGGTTCCTGAGTGTGATTCGGTCAAATCCGCTTATGACGCTTGCTTTCAGGAATTTTTCCCCAAGTTTCTTCGCGGCTCTACAAATGATCCTTGTGGTCCAAAATTGAAAGCCTATCAGCAATGCTTGCGTGGTACATTGGAATCAATGGGCATTGATATGAAAGAGCTGGATGCGTCACGCGTCGATGCCGATGCTATTGCAGCTGCTCTGAACAAGCGATGATGGTGAACCAAGCGGAACAATGCTACGTTTTCATTCCCGGTTGAGCACACCTTCGATCCCCGGCTGTACATCTTCTTTTTCGACTCTTCGCGCAATTGTGAATAACTTAGCAAAATGCATTCGTAGAACTTATTTTCGTAAATGTGACAATTTTGTTTGCCGCCTAAAAATCTGGCGACAAAAGCGCCAGACTTGAGTGAAAAATATATTTTAGAAAAATAACTTTCTAGTTTAAAATAAATGTGCCATGTTTTGCTTATTACTGGTCGTATCTGCCGTACGATGTTTGGAGGTTACGGAAGTTCCATCTTCCATTCTCAACCACATTGTTATATGACAGTCTACTTCGGACCATGAGAAAAAATGTACCAAATTTCACGGAAAGAGTCAGATTTACGTTGCTTCTTTGGTTCGACTTGAGATAACTGTTAGAATCACAAAACAACGCCATGGCAATTTGTAACATTATTGTGAATATGTGGGTAAATATCATGCTCCGGATGGTTCCTGAGTGTTACTACCATTTATCAAGTCAAGTCAAAGTCAAAAATCGCTTTATTCATCCTAATGGATGAATTCTCAGCTTCAGTCGGAGGACGGTTTTCTCAATGCGAGTATTCGTTAGGGATATATGGTATGTGGTGCTCGTTACATGTTTCTGACCCATGAACCGATTGCAACAAGCTAGTGCTCGTGACGTAGACCAGCTGCTCAGTAAGACATACTGAGCAATACGTCCTATTCAGTGATGATCAAGATCACGGACAGTGTTCCAACACCGATCTAAACATTCGCGTATATAGACGTAGGTCATGGTTAGCGCGCAAACCTAACCTGACTACCAGGGGTTATAATTGTCCCGAGCAAAAGTTTTAACGCTCAGCTTTAGGCCAGTCCTAACGGCTCTGACCAAAACTGTCTTTCTTTTGTTATGCTATATAATAATAATTTTTCATTTCCTTGAATGTGTTGATTAGAGAATGGGCAGTAAACTTCTAGGAGACTGCGGTCAACCAAAGCTGCTTGTGGAAATGCTGCACTAGGAAGGAAGAACGGCAATGAAGGTATTCCAACACACGAACTTCGAGGATGAGTTTAACCGCTGCCGTCCGCCGTTAACATCTCTCGAGCGAAGACCAATAGTCCTCTTAAACGGCAGAGTCCGGTCAACCTTAGTAGGTATGCGAATAATGTAACATTGTGCTTATTAGACGCCCCAAAACGTAATCTGAGACTATTATACAAGCTGATATGACAGCAATTGGTTGGAATCGAGTTGAACACAATTCCACAATCACCGGGCACGCAATGTGCGAAGGACAGATAATTGATTTCAAAATCCGCGCATTGTAAAGCGTGGATTCAGAAGTCACAAGGAACGTTTGGTAGCTGAAGCGCTCCTGATCACCGCTGAATCTACGGCAATCAATCCATCCGATGGGGCAGTCATTCCGCAGTTATGGCGACAATTAACACTTGTACATAGAAAATAGTCTCGCCCCCACCCTCAATGCCAAATGCCCAATTCACACGTTTCGACCTAAAGGTCAAACGAATTTCACTGGTCCCAACTATCTGTCAAACGATCACCAACACACACACACATACACGTGTATTCGAATCACATCCGAGCTCTATACGATCTCATCCGATCGCCTTATAATTGCTTGTAACGTGAGATTAACCAACTAAACGACTTGCGAAAGGCCTTCCGAGAGGGTCGAAACGTTGTCATCAACGCCTTGTGTTTTGGTTTTTCGTTCGTTGTGGCTAAGATAAGCTAATTTCCTCAGTGATCATGAGCACGACGCCCGAGTTTTTCAGCGAGATCCGTTCCATCCATGGATCTCTTGTGACCTCATAAACCTATCATTATTTTTTCTGGATCTTCGTCAACATATGAATATGGGAGCCTTCAATCTGATGCAAGCGAGTCAACAAGCTTGTCTGGCGCGCACAATGAAGATTTTAGAGATTGATGTCCGTTGTGTGTCGCAGACAGACATTTAGAACCTAAGTGGCATAAGCCATCTGAGTATGCTAGTTCTGTCCTCGAGGTACTTCCTTTCGCACATGTGGATACGATAAACATAGTCTTTGGGTCATCGTGGTGTGAGAATGGTACTAAACGTGAAGTTGGGGCCTCACTGATCGACTGGATATCCATCAGCATCATCACTGTGGAGCGTAATACAGTAAAGCAAACTTCCCTGATCGCTACCAAACTTAAATTACATACAACGTGAGTGAGAATGTGTAGGAAGGATAGGGATTAGGCTTACTTTTAGAGACGGAAAAAGAAAGCGAACCTCTATGGTCAACACACTGAGTAAACAGTTCAATTGTGCATACATACTATTTCAAGCATTCTGGTCTGATAAGAAGTGACAGCAAGGTCGCCATTGCTGTCGGTTCGCAGCCATGACCTTCAGTGTCTCCAACCATGCGGTTACGGAGTCTTTTGGACCCCAACCCGGAAGACGAGAGACACCTACTCTACCTAATCGCTCTGTGCATTTCTTCATGCCTGGTCTCCACATGGCTTTCTCCAGTCTGCAACAGCCACTGCGAATAAGGCGCGCTGCGGTAGTCGACCGTCGGATATACGCAATACGTGAGCTGGATTCGATGCACTCCCAAACACCCGACGATTTACTTCTGGGTAACTCAGCCGCTCACTCCATCCCACTTGGGCCAGACTACGTAAGCATCGATTGTCGAAAACCACTAGGCGACGGATGTCTTCTACCCACAAATTCAAGGTCTCACAACCGTAAAGCAGAACTGATCGTACAGTGGCGCAGTATGCGCGACTTTTGAATCTCAGTGAAACGCCACGTCGCCACTGCAGTTGTTTTAGTCCTGCATACGCTGCCCGAGCCTTGGAAATGCGGGAGGTTATCTCCTTTGATGCACTACCGCCGTTGTTCACGCGGCTACCTAAGTAGGAGAAGCAGTCAACTTAAGCTAATTCCTGATCGTGTAGTTTCAGAACAGAATTCGGCGACACCCACTCTTGCAGCATGACTTAGCATTTTGAAGGTGCAAAGCGCATGCCGAACGGAGCGACAGAACTTGCTAACCTGTCAAGTGCTCCTTGTGCATCCTCCATAGATTCGAACAAGCAGACGATGTCGTCAGCGTACTTCAAATCACACAGCTTTTCTCCAGCTTCCCACTTGATACCTACATTTTGGAGACTCCTTAGTGTGTTCTCTATTATTCCGTCTATAAAGAAATTGGACAGGAATGGCGAAAGAGGGTGCCCTTGACGAACACGGCTGCTGGTTACGAACGACCTACTCAGTTCGCCATGGACCCTTACGCTACCAGAACTAAAAGAGTAGAGTGACCTCAGGATGTTAACATGCTTCTGCGGCATTCCTTTGCAAAGGTTAGGACACGCATTGCGCATGTCCAGTATCGTCTACCGCACCTCGCCTTATCTGTCAACTCGTTTTTTGTGTGATGAACAGTAACCCCATAGTCGAGTAGACCTGCTATTCCGTGATGAAAATAAGTGAGAAGGTACAATATGATTGAAGGCAAGCAAATAAAAAGAATCCTTATGGTCAACACACAGAGTGCATAACTTAACCGTGCATACGTTGACGTCACCGCCGTGCTTTGTACCCTATAGTCCGAGGGTTGCGTCCCGCCACCGTCAGCTAGCTTTGCTGTCGTCCGTTTTCACACCATGCCTATATTAGTGGAGCATACAGGACCTATAGGACCAGGTCCTCGTGACTGTGGGGTACGCCCCGTCTGCTATTCATCACATTTGGATGTGTAATTAAAAAATGACGATGACGGCTCTATGACGGTAGCATAGTCAATGAAGTAACCGCCCGCATTTCCAAGGCTCGAGCAGCTTACGCAGGATTGAAACACCTTTGGTGCAGACGCGATGTTTCGTTGAAACTGAAAGATCGTGTATACTGCGCCAGTGTGCGGCCAGTTCTGCTCTATGGTTACGAGACCCTAAATTTGCGCGTGGAGGATATTCGTCGTCTTGAAGTATTCGACTCCGGATGTTTACGCAGTTTGGCTCGGGTTGGATGGAGCGAGCTTGTAACTCTGAGGTGAGGCGTCGCGTATTTGGTAATGATTCGATGGAGAATTCGTTGTCCCATCGATTTCAGATTAGTCGGCTTCGCCGGTTAGGACACGTATTGCGTATGTCCAGCCATCGTCTGCCGCACCGCGCCTTATTCGCAGTTACGGCTGCAGGTTGAAAGAAACCGCGTGGTGGTCAACAGATGACGTGGAGACCAGGCATGAAGAAATGCACAGAGCGATTAGGTAGAATCGGTGTCTCCCGTCTTCCAGGTTGGGGTCCGAAAGACTGCAACTGGTTGGCTGGAGACATTAAAGGATGTGCCGACTAACCGACAGCATTGGCGTTCTTGCTGTCATTTCTTATCAAGTCAGAATGCTTGAAAAGGTATGTATGCACACTTAGATCGTGTACTCTGTGTGTTGACCATAGAGGTTCTTTTTCTTTGCCTCCCTCCAAGTAGGCCCAATCCCTCTCCATCTTGTGCTTTATCACTTGGTTTGTGTACACTGTGAGCTTGGCAGCGATCAGTGAAGCTTCACTGTAT